ACCTAGTAGCAATGGCCTCCAACCTAGTAGCGATGGCCTCCAACCTACTAGATACAAAGATCCTTCAGAGCCAAGGCTTATCGGCACCATCCAGGGGGAGACGCAGCTCTTCATTCCTCCTGACTTGGTGCCATGCTGCAAAATTGCAGCTGTCACGATTGAAGTGTGATTATTATATAGTATAATACAACTATAACAATGTCATTATTTTTGGCTCGATTCATAATTTCAGAATGCGAACCATGCTAAGGACTGTAGGACTCTTTTCTAGCAGAAAAATGGATCAATTTCCTGTCTAGCTCAAATCAACACTTCTCGCAGCGTGATGTCATGTTCAATAGGACCAATACGACACCCACAACGGTGTCATCTAAATCGGTTTTGAGGCTTCAAATCTTTGTTTGCTGTTGCATTCGCGAGATCTCCTAGGCCTTAGCTCCGTTCACGCACTTCCTGGTCTATGCAGCCTCCAACTTTTCGGAGCAAAGCTTTCCAAGTGCCCTTCGCATTGTGGATACCGTTGCCAGTGCGTCTGCGGCCCAGAAGACAAGGAGGAACTTTGAGAGCAGCTCTTCTCTCTTTCTATTTACCATCAAATCCAACGCATAGAGTCTACGAAGATAAGAGGTGAGGAGTTCTCTACATAAACGCAACCAAGAAGCTTAAGGGAATACAGGGAAGTGCCTGATCAAAGACTGCTGGGATCGGTGACGATAGGGGTCAATCAATTGACCAATCTCCTAATTATTGATTGATGCTGTTTCTTTTTTATCCTTGATAGTCTTCAATCATATATTTGAGAACAGATGCACAAGACTAGACTACTGGAGCCAAGCACAGCCTATTGAGACTAGGAACTAAAACACGATGTAGTAAAGCATATATATATATCAGCAGGGAAAGAGCTGAACAAGACGAAGAGAAGCCAGCCAACAAGAGTACGAGCGACAAGCCAGCCTTGAAGTTGGGAATTCAAGAGCTCTAGGCATCAGGAATCACTCCAGATGGCACAGAGTCAACATTTTTGGATTGGTTTGCATTTTGTGTCAACCAAACACAAAGAACATCAAACAAATAACAAACAACAAGTCAATGGACTGACCTGGGCTTTGTGATAGGTTCGTTGTTTGTTTTCCTGTCGCATAGTTGTAGCATCATGCAAAGCAGATAGTTGCAGATGGTTGATCTATTGCCAAATGCACATGAATGCACGCAAAGAAATGCACAACTTGTAGAAAGGATCTTCAGGGTCTCCTGGTGTCTCCCCTGCTGGGTCCCCGGTTGGTTCAGGTCAACGGTGGACTTCTTGGACTTGGATTTAGACCTCTTGGAGTTGGGCGGCCAAGTGAGCTGGGCAGAACCGCTTGACCTTTCGAAGGTGCAGGACGGCCCGTGACCTGAAAAACGTGAGTCTTGAAAGGTTCGTCTAAGAAATGTTTCGACAAGCTGCCAAGAACAGTAAATAATGATCACATGAGACCTGGCTATTCTTCATTTGCTCATCACGAAAAGCTCCAAGAATGCATTATTATCATGCAAGGGTTGGTGTCCCAAATGAAGAGTTTTGGCAAGAGCAGATGTTGCTCAGCCTGTCTTTGTTGTTCTGCATACACCCGCGCTTCTGTTCATGCCACGAAGGTTGACATCAATCTTTTGAAGTCTCCTGTCCTTCGCGTTGTAGAGGACTATGTGGTATATTTGGGCAACTCCATCGACCGCTCACAGCTTGGGGTGGCGCAGAATTCGCAGCTGGACATTCGGGCTTGGTGGCCCAGTTGGTTGGACACCTTCGTCCAATCAACGATCAACGCGAGCCAGGGTGTTGCATCTAAACCAGTGCATCACCCCGCGTGCTCCACAGCCCCAATCCTGCAGCATATGGGTAAATAGTCCAACACTGACAACATTTTGGGACCAGTTCAACACAGAATCATCTCGCAGAGCTGGGAGTGTCTGTTTTGGTGGGCATTCCTTTTCACGGTGCACAGGCACGTAGGCTGAAATTTTGTCCATGAGCCCTTTGACTCGATAGCATAGCTTTGCATAGTATGCAGACAGCCTAAACAGCTCCAAACATCTAGCCAAAAATGAACCCCTGCCATGCTTGCCAGCCAAATCATGCCAAATGTATCCAAATGTGGTGTCAAAACATGTCACAATTCATTAGTCCATATTGATCTCAAAGTATCGTCCATCGTCGAATAAACATATTCAAGATCACATTTTAGAACTTGAGAGATGCGTTTGGGTTTGATTTGCAGTCCGTGTGTTTACAGAGCTTCTTTCTGGTTGAGGCTGAAACACCAACTGGCCGCTTCGAGTCGCTCTTGGTTTACACCAGGCTGGACTTGAATGCTCTGAGTAAAGAAAGACCCAGAGCTAGGCACTTGCAAGCAACTTGTATTTTCACCTGAACTTGGAAAATCAGGTTTTAGCATTTTTCACATTTCGACTCAAGCACCCTCCACAGCAACAGCCGAGACGCGCTTGTGTCTCCATCAAGGGGACGCCAGTCACCCCACTTGTGGAGAAGGCCCTTTCCGAAAGACCTCGCGTGGCAGGTCCAGTTTGGCCGAGCAGAGTTCGCCCTCATCCTTGATCTTCCAGGACAATGAGGCTGATCTTTTGATCACTAGATGAGTTGCACTTCTTGCTCTCTTTGATGATTTGTCATTCAATTCAAAATCAGCATGAAGTTCAAGCAATATGAATGAGCGTGTTCAAGCGTGTCCATGTCATGGGAGTCCGAAAACCAAAGTCTAGTAGTCGGGTTCCATGCCATATTGTTATATAATGTTATATAAAGGTAAACGCTGCACGCAAAAGCTCGCGTAAGGGAAGCAAATGGTTCGCGAAAGACGAGTCTACCAAGATCTTTGTTTTTGTTGGTGGTCGGGCATGTTCCTCACCCAAGTAAAACCCTCTCAAAACAACCCTCAAGACAACGCAAAAAGGATGCTCTGCTTTTCTGCTGACTTCGTGGTCTTGGTGGGGTCTTCTCGCCCCGTTGAGGTGTCTTGACCTCAACTTCATCTAAAAGGGCTGCAAAGACATGCAGCATGCAAAAGCGTGTCATCTTTGTGCAGGGGTCATGCATCAACACTCCCCCTGTCTTCCTTGAAGACATCGTGATGCCATGCTCCTCACCACACGAGTACTCCAGGTCTAGGACCCTTCTTCCAGCATGTGTGATGAGGGCAGGCCTTCCATCAGCTCAAGCCCCATTGGTTGACAGCTTCTTCATCTGTCAGTTCAAAGGCCAACCAGGCCGTGTGGCAGCAAGACAAAACCAACAATGCCCATGCATTCGTTGAAAACAGTTGTACTGTATCCTGCAAGCCATTAGCCCAGTGTGCACCCCATTCTTTTCTTTTCTCCTTTCTTCATCAAAACCATAATGCCAACAGGCATTTGCTTCACTTTCAAAGCCAATGTTGGCCATGAAGGCCAACGCCCAAGCCAAAATGGCCATAGGTGGGCCGCCAAATGGCTTCGGCAACCCCCTTTTTCTTCTTCTTTCATCTTTTCCTTACATGTTGAGCTCCCTCTCGCGAAGCTCCTGTAGGCATCGAACACATGGGGCATACTTCTTTTCAGCCCCAGTTGAACAGGCAGGTGGCCGTGCAGCATCCACATGGTAGATCTCGCCCCACCCACGAGACCAAAGGTGTTCACCCCTTCGGACATGGGCCATGTCGATGGTGAAGGCGCATCGATGGCATGGAGGTGAGCTCCGGAGCACGGATGAGGTGAGCGTAGGGCATGAAGTAAAGATGTGGTACTTCTGCCCGTACTTGGTGACGTAAACACCCATCCCTTGATATCGCCGGCCTCCATCTCCGATTGGCGGTTCGCCATCACGCTGGAATGCCCTGGGGCATGCCTTTGCGGCAGCTTCTGAAGGACCTGCTGGTCTTGGTTGAGGTGGCGTTGGATCCCATGCTTCATCGGCCATCATGTCACGGTAATCCCTCTCTGTAGGATGATAGAGGGTCTCATCATCATTGGCCGGGGACTCCCGTGGTGGAACATCAGAGGGCACTTCATGATCACCAGCGGGAATCTCCTGTTCAGGTTCTTCCTGGATGCCAGTGAGGGTGACATCCGAATGTGGCTGGGAGGTTTGTCCGGATGAACTCGAGGTCGGAGGAATACCAGCTTGTGCCCTTTCTTCCGGAGTGAGGGAGGAAAGCCATCGTAGCAACCATTCACGGTTTTGCAGCCCAAACTGGCTTCTCTCTTCAGACAGGCTCATCATCTTGAGGACCTCCTTTCCCTTGCCCTTTTCCTTTCCTCTTTCCCTTTGACCTGGCACTTGGCCTATTGACTTCTCGGCCCTGCCAGTCAACCGTGATGGAACTTCCCTGGGATTCCGACGTGGAACTGCCAGGTGGCCCAAGCGCCGGCGGCTCATATTGTTGACCAGCCGCAGCGTCCCCATCATTAATGGCTGGTGCCAGAAACCAAGCGCAGAAGCGTCTGAAAAGCAGGGTGGCCAAGATGACAAGGATGGTGTACAGCATCATAAACAGTTGAAGCGGCTCCGAACCGGCCTGATCAGATGGAGCATCATCTTCTCCACTTTGATTTCCTTGGGCTTTTGATTTAGCGATCAAAGCCATGAGCACTGCCAGCTTCAGCTGTCGTCCATCGAAGTTCAACTTTCTCTGGCTCCCTTCTTTTTCATCTTTCTCTTCCTCAACTCCTTCTTTTCCTCTTTCACTTACCGCCTCTGGGCCATCCTCCTTTTCTTTCTTTTCTTTCCTTACCGCCTCTGGGCCGCCCTCCTTTTCTTTCTTTTCTTCGCTTACTGCCTCTGGGCCGTCCTCCTTTTCTTTCTTTTCTTCATCCACCTTCTTTTGTAGAACCATGGACATCAATTCTTTCAGCTCCAAGGTGCGCTGACTCGAAAGGGGCTTCGTGCCAAGGTCGGCAATCATGATGGTGCCGGGCATGTGCCTCACTCGCCAGTCGAGGTTGGTGATTCTCCAACGAACATGCTGTGCCCTTAGCCTCAAATGCCTGGTGCGCCAGTTGGCATGACCATCGGAGAAGAACCCAGTGGCCGCAAGGTTATCAACGAAGAGGGTCTTCACATAGGGTTCCTCATGCTCTTGGATCACGCTATCAACTGCATCACCAGTTTGGAGACCTTCAATGGCTTCCAGCAGCTCCGACTCAGCAGTGGACAGAGCCGGAAATGGTTGGCGACCACTTTTCCAAAAAATCAGCGCTCCATTCCACAACACCATCACAGCGCCATGGGAAGCTTGGGTTTCGGGTGAGGCTGCAAAGCTCGAGTCCGTGTAGACCTCCAAAGACCTTGAACCCCCATCCCATCCTTCTCCTTTTCCAGGTTGAAACTCCAGTCCTTCATTGGGAGTTGACTTCAAGTACTTCCAGACTTGAGTGGCTTGTTCAATCACCCAGGATGGATGTGGCAGAATCTCTTGAGCACATCGACTTGTCGCGAATGCTACATCGGGTCTTGTGCGGGTTGACAACCACATCAGTTCGCCAACGAGCTTCTGAGCTGCATTGACCAGCTCTGGTGTAGGCTCTTCTGGCATCGGGGCTGTATCTTTGGACATCACATTCTTTGTATCTGGAATTCCCTCCTTGTCCTTGATGTAGTCTTCTTGTGACGCCCGATATCCTCCTTCAATGGTTTTGGTGATCTCCATCCCCCAAAACTTGACCTTTTCTTTTCCAACTTCTTCAGGCATAGAGGTCTCCCATTGGGCCTGTAGAACTTGGATCACCTGGTTGATGGTTTTCTCATCACTTGTAACCATCAGGTCGTCAACGTAGACCAACAGGAATCCGACCATCTTTTCTTCCCGCTCTTCATCTTCACCATCACCGAGCATGATGCTCCATAGATTAGGCTCGGCTTCGGCCTGGACAAAGCGATGTCCTTGGGGTGAGGTCAACTCCCTCAGTACCTGATCACGGTAGACCCCCCAACAGCGCGGAGACTGGCGAAGACCGTACATAGCCTTTTGAGCCAGGTAGTAGTCCTTAGGCCCCACATGGCCCGTCTTCAGAAGAAGCGATGGTGGCTTCAATACCACCATTGTTGGCTCCTGACCTTCAGCTTCGATGTCCAGTGGAGCATTGAGGAACGCTGTTCGGATGTCCAGCACAGATGCCTTCCAGCTCTCTTCAGCTGATCGCTTCAGGACGTAGCGAAGGCAAACGGCGTCCGCCCCTGAGGCATAGGCATTGATCCTTCTGTTCCGCTGAGGCTGGGTCAACGAAGTTGCCGCAGGCTACCAGTCTGACCTTTCTTCTTGGACCAGGCTTCAAGGTGATCACTACCTTCGAGGGCAGCACCTCCAACTTTCTGCCCCACTTTTCTTGTAGGGACTTGAACTCATCTTCATCGATCCGGCGAAGAGCCCTTTTCTCTTCAAACAGTTGGTGAAGCTCTTTCCGGATAGCTTCATCCCATTTGGGAGCATCTCGAAGAAGTTCTTTTGGGGAGACCACCCTGGTTCGAAGAACAGGTTCCTCCTCCTTGGGCATAGCGCTCTTAACTTTCTTCAGCTCCTCATAGACGACGTCCATGACCTTCATTTCATCCTTGGGCATGATCACGCTTTCCTCCAGGACGATATTGGAGATCCTTTCCAGGTGTTGTTCTCTTTCCTTTTCAACCACTTCATATTCATCTTCTTCCAACTTCATACTTTTAGCTCCCATTTTTCCCCGTATCCTTCTTCTGATTTCATAGGGACCCTCAGCCTCCTCAGCGGCCTTTGTGACAGCTATCCAAGTTGATTGGCTCGGCTCAGGTTCCTGGGTCTTCATGATGAAGTACGGGACGATCGCCGTGGAGCCATTGTCTCTCAACACCAGGTGACCATGAGCATCGGGTCTTGGAGCAAGGTAGCGAACCTTCTCATGGGTCGCTTCCAATTCTTTTGTCTTCCAAAATAATCTTCTTTTGACCAGGAGCTCATGACCAAAGGGCGGGACGTCGCCCAGATCAAGATCCATGCGTCTTCGCTCCCGCTCGTGGACATAGTGGCATGCTTGAGGCCATCGACTTGCCGGCATACCAGCCATGCCAAGGGCCCGACGGATGTGGGACTTCACTGTTTGAATCGCTCTTTCCGCACGCCCATTGGACTGAGAAGAGACTCCCGCCGTTGTGGTGCGATGGATGTCCCTTGAGCGACACCACTGGGTAAGGGATCTTCCTCTGAATTCTCCCCCGAGATCAGTGTGAAGCGTTGCCACGTGGTAGCCCATCACCCTGAGCTGGATGTACATTTGCTGGATCGTGGACAGCACCGTCTTCTGATCCTTTGAGACCATCGGAATGGCGAGTCTGAAGGTGATCAGGTCGGGGTTCTCCTTTTCTTCACCCACTTCAACTTCCTTCATCTCCTCACCTTGTTCGCCTTCTTCTGCTCCACCTTCTTCTTCCTCATACTTTTCATTTCCTTCCTCCTCATCTTCTTCTTCAAGCAGCGCTTCATCAGAATCAGCCAGTTCATCATCGGGTACTGGCGGGTGCTGTTCCTGAGGAAGAAGCCAGGTGTAGGTGCCAACGAATGAAGTCCTTACCATCTTTGGCGACAGGATACGGACCAGCAGTGTCCAGTGACAGTGTCGCTGCCAGCGGGTGTGTGACCTTTCGATGTGGTCGGGACTTAGCGCTTTGCTCCTGACAGATTCGACAGTCTCTTCGGAAGGGCACGTGACCATTTTGACAGTGCTGCTCCCACGTCATCTTTTTTAGCCTTGGTTCCTTCTCCACATTTCCATTGATGTGAAGAGCACAGGCTTCAACAACAGATCGACTCAGTCCCGGAACCCAGCGAGCCAGTGAGGATGATGGGACCTTCTGACCTTCTCCTCTGCTCTTTGACCCAGGGTTTCTTTCTTTTGGTAAGCGGAGCTCAACATTGGCGGCCAAAGTTGTAGGCTTCACCGGTGCATCCTCCTTCCAGGGTTCATAGTCTCCTGGGTTCAAGTTGTAAACTTGTAGATGAGCAGCCCTTTGAAGCTTCTTCCATGGCTCCGTACTCCAAAAGGAGACACACGAGGGCATGTAATCCTTGGGGTCAGAAGGCTGCTCCAGTAGGAACATCACTTCATCCTTACTCTTCTTTTCTTCATCTTCATTTGTTGAACCCTTCAGCTTGGCAGCCATGTCCGCGACCAGGAAGATAAAGATCTGGCGCCACATCAGGACATCATCTTCTCGACACATAGCCACCTCTTCAGGGCTGTAGGAACTGATGCCCCATGGTTCCTCCCAGGATCTCACAGGTCGTGGGCCACCAGGGTAATGTCGCAAAACAGATCGGGTGCGACAGTTTGGTCCCCCAATCACCGCCGCCAAATCCCCATCCAACGCCAAACGAAGCAAGCCCTTGTAGGCCTTCGAATCCAGGGATGCCATCTCATGATCATCACCCCGCTTTAGATCCACCTCCAAGGTGCGGCTTCCCAAACCATGCTCTTCCATAGCCTTCTGCAGAGTGAATCCTTCACGTTTTCCTGCGTATAGATGCAGGATCACGGAGCCAGCTGCCTTCAGCCGCTTTCGTTGATGTCGGTTGGCAGGAAGGTCCTTCCACTCGCCCGGTTGTTGGACCAAGGCCTTCTTGACATGATCCGGAAGTTCCAAGAACTTCATCCACTCTACCTCCTTTTCAGGTTGTGTTTCCTCACCAAGCGAGCTTGCTTGCCTTCTAGGGCACGATCTTCATACTCCTGGATGAGCTCGAGGGCAAGCTGCTTGGGGATTTGTGGGCACCCTGCTTGGATGCTGATAGGCAGAGATCCTTTTGTAGGATGGGAGACCTTCATGCCATGCTTTTTCCATGAGATCTTACATCCTCCACCAGCCAACATCCCCAGGGGCACTATCGGTTCCACTTGTAGGTTTGTCGAAACCATCACCCCCGACTCCGTCATCAAAAGAGGCGTGGTGCGGCCATCAGCCAGGGACACAGAGACCTTCTTGAACTTCTCGAGGCTGTCCGTAGATGCAAGAGGCCTCAGGGGATGCGTGGCACCCGATCCCAAGAGTCCCCATTCTTCTTCTTGCGCAGACCCCATCTTCGCTTCGCGAACTCGGGTCAACTTCAGGGTTTTGATACTTTTCTTGATCTCATCAAGCTGCTGATGCAATCGGCTCAGCTTGGCTTCTGAAGCTTCTTTGTCCTTCATCGCCTTAAGCATCTTGTTGGCTTCAGCGAGAAGTTCATCCATCTTTTCATCATCCTGACCTCCACTTCCCTTTCCTCCTTCCTCGCCTTTTGGGTCTTTCTCTTCTTCCTTTTCCTTCTTGACCTTTGGTGGCGAGTTGGGAGCAGTTCCACCTGAGTTCTCCTTCGTAGGACAGGTGGGAGCTAGGTGCTTCGTGGAGCCACATATATAACACCTTTTTTGTTCATCCTTTTGGTCATGTGACCATTTGCAATCACGGCCACGACGACATCCGGCCTCGCTGAGGAAAAACTTGCACGGCGGCTTGACTTCCATCTCTTTCAGCTTGCCTTCACTTCCTTTGGCCTTCTTATTGACCTCCTCAATCTTCTTCATTTTATTTTCCTCCTTCTTCGTAGTTGCACCAGTTCGCTTCTCGGCCAAAGAGAGCTGTTCAATCTCAGCAATGAGATGGGTTGCGAACTGGCTGACCGAGAGCGCATTGGGATTGGTGTCAACCTGAAGGGCATTCCGAGCAAGAGACACCCGGAACCGTAGGCTTTCATTGCCATCCAACACTCGCTTCGTCAAGCGATTCAGACCCTTGACCAGGATGGACGGGTCGGGTTCGGTGGCTCCAATCTCTTGAGCTCTTGCACGCCAGCGAAGCCATCGACGTAGGCCAACCACCGTGTCGTGCAAATTTCCTGGTTCCGTTGGATCTTCGAGGTTCCGCAGGAGCATTTGTTTCTCGCTGATGCCACCAGGACAGTAGGTGACGTGAAGGTGGGCAAGGATGGCGAAGACTGACAACCTTTTCGTAGCCACCAGTTCATCTTTCTGAACCTCTGGAATTGCCTTCAGCAACAGGGTGGCCATTCGCCGTTCCAGCTTTGCCCACTTCGGAACGCTGAGTGATGATGGAGGCACAGGTTCATGTTTGACCCGCTCCAAAGGAGCCATTGCTTGGTGGTCTTGATACCACTTCTCAACCTCAGTCATCATTCGATCCCACCAAATGTCAGAGGTGGTCGTCAGATCAGCCACCACAGGCTGAACAAGAAGCAGCCAATCACCCAGCTGCAACTGCGAGGTGGAACCATGTAGAGGATGTAGAGCAGGTAGTTCAGCGACCTGACGGACAATCTCCACCCCCTTCACCGTTCCCTGAGCTTCTTGTCCCTCCGAAATCTGTCGCTGGAGAGACTTCATACTTTCCACCAAAAGTGTCATCACTTCCATCTGTTGAACTTCAGGGGATAGTTTGGCTCCCCCGGTTGTAGGTCTAGGCCCCTTCATTTCCCCTTTTCCATAGGATGGACTTCGACCCTTCCTCTGTTGTTCTTTGGAGCGGGACCTGGAACCCTTGACCCCATAGCGAGCCGGGTAGGTCGACCACGGCGTGCGTCCTCGGGCATGTAGGTCGTCGGCTCCTGGAATCCCATTCGGTCCCTCTTCATCAGGGGTGTTGAAGTTGGAAGCACTTCTTGGCCTTTCCATTTCTTCTCTTTCCTTTTTCTTCTTCTCTTCAACCTCCAACCTCTTCCGGTCTTCACCTTCGATCCTCCATTCATAGAGCTCCTGTTGAAGGCGATCATTCTCACGTTGTTGGGCCTGGCAAAGGTCAGTGAGCCGTCGCACATCCTGAGATATCTGCCAGCGCCACATGATTTCTTCCTCTTGGTCTTCCCGTTCCTGATCGCGACGGGTCCTTCGAGGATCATTGGAGCTCTCTTCACATCTTTTAAGCTCCTCACTTTCTTCTTCCTCCATCTCCACCACCCTTCTCTCCCTCTCTTTCTTGCCTCCTCTCTTTCCTTCCCTTTTTTCTTCTTCTTCTTCCAGGAAGGCAGGGCGAGATACCTGAGTCGGCCGATCATCTCCTGAAGAGGACGGCATCAAACCTGGGCCAAAGAGTTGTGGAGCTCGTCGAGCAGATGCCTTAGCTTCACGGATCTGCTCCTGGGTGAACAAGGGCTGCATGGTTTGAGGTGTCGGTGGAACCAACGGAGCCAAGGTCATGGGCTTTCCTCTTGGGGCTTCAACAACACTTTCCTTCGATCCACCGCTCTTGAACACCTCCATTTCCGTTTTCCCTGTTCCTGTATTCCCCAGCCCAGTTGTCGAGCGAGCCGGGGTGCTGAATTCCTTTTTGGCTTCTTCTTCTCCTACACCAGCTTCGAGCACTTCCGCTGGTTGCTTCACCTCCAAGTCTTCGCAGACATCAGCAGGAGGTGGCAAAGCGAGCGGCCCATCGTCGTGGTCCATGATTCGACGGCGCCGGAGCATAGACGGGTGTGGATTAGAAGAACCTTCCAACGTTGGGCTCATAACCTGTTGGTGGTCGGGCATGTTCCTCACCCAAGTAAAACCCTCTCAAAACAACCCTCAAGACAACGCAAAAAGGATGCTCTGCTTTTCTGCTGACTTCGTGGTCTTGGTGGGGTCTTCTCGCCCCGTTGAGGTGTCTTGACCTCAACTTCATCTAAAAGGGCTGCAAAGACATGCAGCATGCAAAAGCGTGTCATCTTTGTGCAGGGGTCATGCATCAACAGTTTTAAAACAACACCGGCCATGAAACCACAAACAGCAACAGACAATAAGTAGAGACAAACCAACGATAAAACCAGAAATGAGAACTCACGAGGAAACAAATAGCATTTCACCAGTGGGCGCGAAAGCAGGAGAAAGGTTCACGCAAGAAAAGCAAAAGAGCACCCTTTTGGGAATATGAATGTAGGACAACACCCACATATAGTTTTGTTATGTTTTGTTTGTTATTTTTGCACCACCGTTTTTGCTTATTTGTATCCAGTGAGTAGGTCCTGCTGAACATCTCGTTCTACGACCTCGATCTCGACGAGGTGCTGGGTCCCTTTACTTGTCAGACACGCGAATTCATGCTGAGTGAGTGCAACTTAAGTTATGTCTAAGTCTAAGTTAAGATATAGTCAAAACGCTAAGAACATGGGCCGAAGCCTCATTTTGCTTCGTTACTAGTAGTGATTTGACCCGCAGGGTGACTTGGGTGGGCTGGCAAATTGGTCCGGCACATCAGAGGAATTGGTGCTGGAATATGCGGCTTGACTGCAAAGCTCATGGATTTCAAGTCGTGCATCAAGTCTTGAACACGATTTCCGAAACAAGCGTCGATCATCAGATCCTTGCGAAGTCGATACGATCGAGCACAGGGGTTCCCTTTGCTTCAGACAGAGTCGATAGCTATGCATGTGCATCACTGGTTCAGAGCCGCAGCTGTCGGGTGTGGTTAGAGCTGCCAGATATATCATGCTGAAAGGCTGTGTACTTGGCAGAGATTTGCGAAGGGCAGGACTGACAATGAGTGGCTTGTATTTGCTTGTGCCAAGCCCAGATAGGGGCTTAGGCTTGCAACAGGAACATGCCTAGATAAGTTCACAGCTTGAACGCAAACCAAAGACTTTGATTTGTTTAGATCTTTTTCGTAGAAGCATGCACAGAGGAAGATTATGAAAGCCATTGAAGCATTCTGTTGAACTCCCTGCTCCAGCATGCAAGGGGTAGAACAAATATGAACATGAAGATTTTACATGGCCAACATGCACCGTTTTGTGGGCTGTACCCCTGAAGATTTGGTCCAGGAGAGGAATGACACAAGTGACACCAGTGATGTGGCAACATGGGAGAACAGCACGAGCCCTGACTTTTGCAACCTTCGTTACATCGACACGGTGAACGCCAGCGAGCCAAGCTCCTTAGACCAACTTGGAGCGCGGAAAGAAGAATGATCATGGTCCGTTTTCTCTCAGTTCAAAACGAGTATGATATCAATCAATATCAATTAATACTATACTATTATAGTATGATGATGAGTATGTATGGTCCAACAATATGGAGTTAGGTGGAATTTGGATCCCAATTGATTAAACGTCCATCATCATGCCCACTATTGGAGTTCCCATCTATTTAAGTAATCCCTGCCTCAAGAACTTCAACGGAGACTGCTCTGAGGAGTCCAAATTCCAGCGGAGACTCCGAAGATGAACTCGACGCATTTGGCAGTATTTGCACGTTCAGCTGCCCGATCGCAAGTAAACAAGACCATGTTTTGGGAGCTTCCTACATAGATCTTCGTTTTCTCAACATGAAAGAGTTCGAGAGTCCTTTCAGTATCTTTCAGTGCTCTAAGAGCATCTAAGAGCTTCACTCGAGGCGCTGGTCGAACAACGAACGCCTTCGGCCTTGCTGTTCTTTGACGCCTCGGCTAGTGTCACACAGTTGAGCTTCGCAGATTTGGATTTGGATGCCGGGGGCCTCAGTGAAGCAGCGCAGCCAATGCGAAACACTTTGCGAAGCCAATCGAAGCCATTTGCGAAGCAAAGCTGATTTACGGAGATAGGCGGAAGAATAGGTGTGGCACTGCATCTGGGGCATATACTGCTATGTAAAAGCTGAGATCAGACGTGCGATAGCATGTGACACCATGTGGTCATGTGATAGTGAATAACTAATTAGAGACCTTTTGGAGTCCGGAGGAGGAGGACCATTCTTTTGCAGTCTCAGTAGCAGAGACAGAGTTTGCCTGCCCCCAGGTTGGCCAACTTGGAGGAAGCATCACCTGGCAAGCTGCTGACACAGCAGCTGCTCCACGCGTCCTGAGCTACGATGTGTATTTGGCGCCACCTGATCATGAGAGGGGGGTCACTGACTGGACGCGAGCAAGAATGGATTTTGTCAGTTTTGACACCCCTTGTGGCCCCTTGTCTCCTTACCCATGGAAATTACCAGTCCTTGGTGATGCGTGATGTGGGTTTAGGGATCACACAACTTCGTTGAAGTAATAAAGACGAGCAAACAGCGAACGTTCGTTGCTTGCTATGCCCTGGAAGCATTTGGTACTGTAGCAACACCTTCACCCAATCGCTCACTTTCTCCATTCCTTCACCCAATCCTTGGGTCTTGACTCGAAATGACATTGGCCTCAGCCAAGTCCTGATACAGCGGCAACACAACGATCTCGCATGGGATCGCAGCCTGTGGGACAGGAAGCATTGGACCGATCCTCAGACCTGTCGTTCTGTCCAGCATAGCAAAAGAACTTCAGACAGGTCTAGTATCTAGGTCTAGGCGTATTCTATCTTCCTGCAATTGCATAGAAGTCGCCTTCTCCAAAATGAAGAAATGCGTCTGACGCCTAAGTCCCAATTGTCAGCATTGAAGAAGACTGGTCGAACCTGAGACTCTTGCAGCAATGGTCGAGGTCGTGGAACCTGAAACTGACCTCTTTGAGTTCAGCTACATTGTGGTTTTCACTCGATCTGCACTCACAGAGTCGGGGGGCTCATTCTGAAGAGTTTTATTCTGATGTTTCACCGGAATGACGCGAAACCCAAGCAGCAGACCAGGAAGCATGAGGAAGCGTTTCTAGATTTCCATTTCTCGTTTCTTGTAGATCTTGCAGACTTGTAGCAATCTTACTTGTCTGTCAACAGATTTGTGAAGAAAGAGCCGCTCTTCACGCAAGTCTACCTTGACTTTAGATTTATTCAGACTGCCCTTCAAGGCAGACAACTCCGGTGGGGTTGCATGTCTCAGACACACAGGCAGCGCTGTGTCTTCGACACCTTGGTTTGAATGTTTGGGTGTCCTCACACCTCAGCATTGTATGGTTCATGCCTTTCCCCACCCCTTTCTTACAAAGTGGAGGACACACATTGAAGAAACCCAAGCATCCTGGAAAGGATTGAAACTTGCAGCTGCATGCCAGTGGTCTTGATGAGAATCTTTGTACTTTGCTTCGTCAGGCCACCGTTGAAAATGTGAGTTTCATTGACCTGGACTTGGACTTCACTGATGCTTGGGGCAATTTGGATTAGCTTTCTGCCCTGTTTGGACGAAAGAAACATGCCTCATCTCAGATGACATTCTATGACCTTTTTTAATTCTCGAAAAGTCCTCAGGAATTGGGTGGTGATCTGCGCTGGAGCGAGCCCCTGAACTTCAAAGAGGTGGGCCCTTGAACAGAAGGACGAACGAACACCGGGTGTTGGGTGGATATTTCCGCTGCTACAGAAGTCTGAGAGAGTTGCCAGCGTCTTCGAGAAAAGAACGTTCAGTCCCCATGTGTTTGAAGCCATGGACGGCAGGTGGAACGCTATAACATTTACCTGTCCGAGATTCTGGACGCTGAGACCAAGGGGAATGAGATCGGGTTGTTGGAAACAATAGAATGACGAACCATTGTTTGCTGTGCTGGAAATGCTTGCGTATGTCAACTGAGTAATCACAAACATTAGTTCTTGCTTTAGCGGCCTGAGGCCAACACAGTGATCTTTCCCTAGAACCCCTCCTCAGAGTTCGGTTACACGCTGGTAAAAGGTACCAGTAAGCTGGCCGTTGCGCTTGCTCATTGATTGATTGATTGATTGATTGAACCAGGACAGCTTTCGTTTTAACTCCAAAGTGCACATCCTTCACCACACGACAGTGAGGACCTGGACGTGCAGAACTTTACTGTGCGGACTTTCCTTGCCAATGTCTCCGTTGGAGAGGCCTTGGTGTTCTGTCCATGAGTCAGCGACAGTGGATATGAAACCCAGGCAATCAATTGAACAAAGCAAAGATCTGCAAAGACATGCAAAGACTTTTTCCTAGTAGCTTCTTGCTCCTAGTAGTAAGGCCAGGAGCCCCTAGTAGCCTTCTTGCTCCTAGTAGCGATGCCCTTTGTTCCTAATTGTTTCGTGCGATCTGCAAGACACTCTTCAGGACCTGTTTGTCGTGGCTCCAGAGACCTCACGTCTTGACACCAACAACTCTGCGCTTGAAGAAGCTCCGCGGAGCAAGTGACATTCATCTCTTCGGGTTTGCAGAGCAATAGCCTCCAATCTAATAGCAAAAGGAATAACCTACTAGCGATGGCCTCCAACTTAGAAGTGACATTCATCTCTTCGGGTTTGGAGTTAATTGCTCCTCTTTCTTTCTAGCTTCATTCAGCCAACGTACCCGGGGGGGGGTTCCTGAGTGATGATATTTGTAGTCGTACAGGCGCCTGAACTTTCTGTTCTTAGCTGAGAGTGCCTGGCTACGCAACTGAGGCGTACACACACTTCTTCATCTATACGCAGTCATCCTTGGTGGAACAAACAACGCCATTTGCCCATGAGATTTATGATGCCGAGGCGGCGGTGGTTCCCTTCGGTTGCAATTGCGGCCTTTGTGATTGCTGTGCGAGGCTACTGTTTCCGACCCTCAACTCATTGATGAAGACTTGGACTTGGATGAGCTTGGAGGCGCTCAGTAAGATGTTCATTACTTAATTGATGCTACTATTATATAGTCCATGTTCATTGAGAGTTGGGGATTCTATGCGATTCTGCCTCCGAGCTTAATGCAATGCGCAAGTCCTATTCGGAAGACTCTACTGCAAAGCAAGATGCTACAATCCTGACATTTGTGAAGATGGGAAAAGCAAAGAGAGGCGGAAGCGCTGTGCTCTCATGCAGGTCGAGTATTCTGGACACCACCCGTAGATTCCAGCCGTGTCTATCTCTACCGTGCCTTCCTGGCAGATCCTTCTGGCCAGCGCTCACAGATCGGCGAGGATTCCAAAGTCGCTGAGTTCGCTGAAGAATGTTGGCGTTTCTTTTTTTCTGATAGGGATGGCCCCAGCCTGATAGCGATGGCCTGCTCTTGGACAGTGTTGCTATGTTTTGCTCATTCTACTAATGATCGTCGACCCATCATCAGTTTCGACATGATTCTGCCAACATACAAGCATATTCAAGCTTGAAGAACCAACCATGCAATATGTGAAAGGGTTTTTGATATTCCTTGGTGGATGCCACAATTGGTGTTTGCCACCTATGTTGGAGGACGTTGAGGTGCCTTTGCATGAAACCAATCTCACTGCTGAGCAGCCGATTGTTTCTTCTTCAGCACTAGCTCCAACTCCAACATGAATCAAGGAGTTCCGGCAATTCTGTAAATTCTCCTGCAACCTTGGACCCAGGCTTCCTTCTCACATTTGCTGGTTTACACGGCTTCGCAGTTGGTGGAACAGACCACACCAAATGCTTCATCCATCTCCGACACTGTGGGGCCCTGAGTCTGAGTTGTGGTAAGGGGAGGCTACTGTCATCATCTTCACCAGCTTGTTTGGTTTCTACATGTTTCTACCACTCCCCTAGGTGCGCGTGGTGTCAATGGTTCGCTTCAATGACTACGACCTGGATTTGGACGAGGCTTTTGAGGGGCCCAGCTTAGGCTTCCGGTGAGATGTTTCTGTCCCTTTGGACCTGCAGGTTGGTGGCACGGTGCTCTGGGACGCTCCTGTGCCTTCGAGCTATGCTGGAAGCTTACTGCAAGTTATGCATAGTTATGCTGGGGCCCATCAAGGAAGCTCGCTGCCTTTCTTAAATCCCAAGCTGCCAGGTGACGAGCTATCGACTGGCTTTTGCCACGATCCGATTCTGGGCTCAGGGTTCGCTTGAGGGATTCACAGGTGACGCACCCAACAACCCTCTTGGAGTGAAAATGCAGGCATGGGGCATGGAGAGGAAAACAGCCAAATTGAAAACTGTGAAGACCTGTTTAGCACGTCCAAGAGATATTCATCGTATTCAGCACATTGAGCGCAAACGATAAATGGATCCACTAACTAGTGCAACAAACCTTTCTTGATTAACCAGATTCCACTTGCAGGCCCCGGCGGTGTTGCAACATTCTCTGTTTGCATGCACTCTTGGCTCACTGTATCCCTGCTTTCGCTGAGGAAATGAGACCTTAGAGGGCTTTGACAACAGCAGTGTTTTGGCGCTGTTGGTAGCTTGCTTGCAAGAGTTCAACTTTCGAGATGCGGGCATGCACCTTATCGAAAGTGTGTAACTTCCGCATTCCGTCTCCAAGGAAAATGAAACCATCAGCAGCCTGAGCTGGACGTTAGGCAGCACTGTAGCTGGCACCGCAGATTTGTTTGCGACAATCCCAGCAGAGACACCCTTGGGCGGAGCAACACATATTCTGGCACCTTGGAGGCACAGTGGACTTGAAGCTTGGGTTCCTGACTTGCGAATTTCTGATACTGTATTCATACAGTGATGATGCTATGGCTATAATCACCCAGGTTTGGACGAAAGTGTCAGATTCATTTTGATTCGCAAGCTGATGATGGCGGAAAGAAATGGAAGGAAAGCTGAAGCTGTAGGACGATCGGTGTGTGGCCCTCAGGGCCTTGGTTCCCCGAGGTCTTCAGCTCGTCGCGCTTGGCGGAGCAACAAACGCCCAGAGCTTTTGAGATCCGAGACACTGCCTCACAGGTTTCAGGCGAGTCCTAGCGCTCACGGAAAGTCTTTCATGCCTTTCGCATCCGCATATGGTCCGACAGCTGAATCTCCAAGATGTCGTTGACGTGCGAAAAGGGAAGTCTAAAATTGGGGAGACCAAAGTAGCTATGGCAAAAAAGTGAAGCCTTGTCACTGTCGATATGGCAACGCTTCCAAAAGAGTATCAGGTTTTAGGATTTGCATTATTTAAGGGGTTTCGCCCCCATGCTGTCGTTGTCATTGTTGTTGTCAATGTCGTTAACTGCTTTTGTTGTTGTCGTTGTAGACTGGTAAACTGGTAGGTGAGACTGATCAGGGCATTGCAGCAGCTGGGCAGTGTTGTTGCGCAGTCGTTTGGGCTTGGTGAAGAGGAGGAGGAGGAGGAAAGAGGACGAGGAGAAGGAGGAGGAGGAGGAGGAAGAGGATGAGGAGAAGCAGGAGCCCAAAACCGCGCCACTCCACAAGGACTTGGACATGGGCCCTCCCCTGTCAGGGCAAGAGACTATGATCCAAGATTCCAAGACAGTGTTGTCTTTGGGTCGTGGGCAGTCACTGACCACTGCCAAGCTGTGAAACCTCTTTGACAAACACTTAGAAACGGGATTGCACCATCTAGGCCCAGGCCACCAGAGTCTAAAGGGGCGTTTGAACCTCCAATACAAGAGAAATGCTAAGGCGCCAAGCCAGGCCTATAAGGGCCGCTCGAGACCTAGCCCTGACAGAGGCTCAGAACATCTAGTGCCATGCCACAAAACCACAAAGAAATACACGACCACCGCAGTATTCTCGTGCACGCTCCCCCCACTGCCGGCAGGGGTCGGCGGATATAACTGGCATCGAATTGGCATGAACCCGTGTCGAAGAAAACCGGCCAATTTCGATGGAACATTGGCCTTTCAATTGCTTGTGTCCGTGAGTCTTGCCACACGCTGTTACATAGCTCCATGGAGGCATTTTCTTCAAGGATTTTGACTTGGATGTGAATGAGTTGGCGGGCGATGCCACATGGTCGGAACCCGTGGACATCCAGTTTGTGACGCAATACGTGGCTTGCAGATTACTGTAGTGGGCAGCGATATATGTTTCCCTTTGTCGGTATATCTCATGATACATCAAGATATTTGCCATGCGGCAGTGAACTGTCGTTCAACTGACTGCAGGAGGGGACTTGTGTTGGGTTTTGTAGACATTTCGAAAACTTTGTGTGACACATCGGGCATCATCGGGCCATTTGGTTCCCTTTTTGAGGTGGTCTATTTGGCGACTGATGCAACAGGATCAGAGCGATCACATATCGCCTCCACAGCCGTGGGCACGACTCTCCTCACAATTCCCTCAGAGACGCGCCTTGGTTGTGGATGGTTGTGGTATGTTGTGGTGGCTTTTGGTGTTTTCTTAGTTAGGTAGGTGACCTCACGACCGTCCAATACAGCTGAGTATCATCTATCCATAATATGAATTAATATGATATCTTATATTCGGAGACTGTGTGGGTTGAATTGCTGAGGTTTTTCTGGTACCAACATGTACCAACCTCAAAACTTCTTAATAGCACA